ACCAAATGCGAAACGCTGCTGCCTTTCTCATCAAACCCAGCACCATATTGTAGGCTTCACTTTTCACTTTCAAGCTCGTCAGTCGATAGGGAACGGGAGGGGAAGAGCGGTTTTTAATCTCCCTCAGACTCTGACCTTAATAACACAGGGCCACTCCTGGGCTGCCAGTTCGTTCCAAAGCTAGTTCGAGCGTATAACGTGGCATGATTAATAAATTTACAGCAGCAATATAGAGAGACTGGGCCACATAGAAATAAGCACATCACTGTAGAAGGAGATAATAGACAACTACAAGTCCGCCCAGTCCTCTGAGGCACAGAATAAGACAAGGCACGACACGAATACCACATGTGATTGTAAGTGTGTATATATATATATGTGTTTGACCTGGGGACATGACAGAGTGAGATGCTACTGATTGATGATGACACTGTACGACTCTGAGGGTCACCTTCAGACGCCAAAGATTGCCTGACCTTATAGGAAGAAACACATCGCTATCTTTATCTGTCATTCTGTTATTAACTGTTATGTAATCATCACACCCACTTGATGGTATGAGCCTTTTACTTTCTTTCTGATACATTTACCATGCAGGTGTTCTGTAGTAATTGCAAAATATATACTCACACAAGAAGTTATTGGTATGAGGTATGGAATATAGCAACTGGTATGAATGGCACACCTGCAGCTAGTCCCCACGATTTGGCTTCACCATTTATATCTGTAAAATAGATGCAAATTATCATGGGCATTTGTGCAGGGAACTCCTACACAACACTACTGCATCTTAACTACACAGTGTACTCTTCCCTTTGTTATTAAAACAAAGAAAGGCAGAAGAAAGGTGAGCTTCATCCGTAGTTACATTGCAAATAATTGCATCTGCAGATACAATTACGTGCATACTTGCAGGGTGACTGATTTAGCTAGAGGTGGCAATCCAAAATATGTTCACGAATATGATTAGTGTTTGAAAATGTGCCTCGGCTTGTCAAACATCGCTTATATTCATGTGGCTCTTGCTGTGGGAACAAGAGTTAGACTGTTGCCGTAAATACAGTAAAAACAGTAAGGAGAAACAACACACGGTTGCTTTTAGATAGAATGGATCACCTCTTTACAGCTATTGGCAAAATGGTATTTAATGAAAGAATGAATGAATGAATGTATTAACAATAAATAGTAACCCATGCCATTGAAATTGTTGACCTGTTTTGGTAGTTAAAAATTAGTATTTTACTGCAGTGCCTAATTTATTGAAAGGATGTGAATCGTAGAAAAATGTACTTTCAGAAGTATGTATTGTAAAGTATGTATTTGTGGAAAGGATTACAGTGACTCCCAGCTTTACCAAGCAGCTGCCACAGAAAAGATGATGAATCATGCAAAGGAACAGACTGTGTTTGTCTGTCTGTGTTACTTTGGAGAGTTGTCAGGGTTGAACAGCCTCTCTTCATCCTACACCACAAGCTGCTGGTTGCCGTCATGCTCCGCAGTCCCAGATGTAGTAATTCACAGCGGGTTCTAACTGACAAGAGGACGAACCACCTCCAGGACTCACTGGGAGTAACAGCTGAGTGTGCCGGAGAAGCCAGCGGCTTGTGAGACACAAAATGAGCATAAGAGATGCAGGATGGGAACCTTTGACATGATGTGGGTGGAGCGTGGTTTTATAAAATGCAGATATGCTTCCTGCACTGGTTTTGATTTGTATTCTCTTCAGTTATATTTTTCTTGGATGAAACTGGAGACAGTGATGGGTGCGCTCACGGGGGATGCAGTATTGTCAAAAGAACTGCTCATTGGCATGTTGGAAATCACTCAAATGGAGTCAGTTTCCTCAGAATGCAGTTGTCGTTTTTGGGGATTCACCAATGTAAAAATATGATTTCAGTGTTATTGACGTTAGAGTGGGTCTGTTGTTGAAATGTTCAATTAAACATGTTGTACACAGCACCTCCAGGCTTGGGCATTTGACAGACTAATAACCAAAACCGATGCAATGTGCAGTCTTACACTGTGAATGAAGCCCATACCAAAAATTAATTACTTCAATCCAAACAATGTGCCAGTTGGGTTAGATAATTTCACAATAATGAAACATACAGAATGCGCCTTGTGAGCAGAAATTTTTACATCTGTTGCTAAGAATACACACCCCACAGTTCTGTCTAGATCTTAATACTGTGTCTGTGTGTGGCCTTAACTTATCATTGTGGTTTGAGATACTTTATTTGGGCAGTCATGGTAACATAAGCCACTTGAAAAGAAAATCCTAGCCAGGGGGAAATAGTCTTGAAAGTTCATTCTGCAGTGTTGGTGTCACATTTTGAGGTGTGTTGTCCACTTTTAAACCATCCCTTCATTGTCATTGCTTGTGTCCATGGTAACACTTTGAGGGTGCTTTAATTTAGGACTTGTGTCTCAATGTGCTGAACAACAAGTTTTAATGTCGGAACTATTGATTGACCCCGCGACCCTGTATGCAGGATAAGCGGTTGACGATGGATGGATGAACTATTGATTGATGTAGGTTTATTTTTCCTCATGAGAGATCACACCAATGTTGGGTTTGGCTCCTAAGTTTTTCTGTTGGAGTCGTTGCTGATGTGGTTCACTTCTAATAGAATGAACCAGCCAGTTTGGCCAATCTTGTGTCTCCCAAGATGCTGTGATGGCAAGAGGTAGCTGTCAGAATCAATCACAGAATTTTGTAGCTTAATGTCCAATTAGTATTCCAAGGTCCTTTAAATAAGCAGTTTGTCAACACTGTCAAGCACCCTGCACTGTTGCGCTTGTCCTTGGCATATGGGCCAATCAAGATTTGATGAAGCATCCAATCAACACAGATCACAGGGAGCCAGCCAATGCTTAAGTGTCCATGTCACGGTGTATATTAATTTGATTTATAAACCTTGGTGTGTGCATGGTGTGCGTCATGGAAAGCCACTAGGCCAAGAACACAATGAAGCTCCTGGCCCTCGTCTTTATTAGCTTGGCTGCCTGCCTGCTCCAAGGAGAGAGAGGGAGAGATGGAGGAGCGTCTGGATGCTCATTCTCACATAGTGACATAAATAGGCAAGCAGGTAGGGAAACAGGCATGCCTTGGTATGGGAGAAATACAAGGTGGTTGAGCGGTAGGTATGTCAGACATATTCACTAGCCCTGTGTGTGGTGCTGAAAGCTTGTTTGGTTTCTACTATCCTACCTTATGCAACACACACATTTTTTCTCTTATACTGAGCTCTTAGGGATATCTCGCCATATTGCATTATTAAAATGGGGGTAACAACGGTTACAGAGATTCTGTATCTGAGCACCCCATAAATTAAATTTGACCCATGTGACAGAGCGGTGTCAGTAACTGCAGGTAGCGCACACACTGACAAACTAAAGCAGTCTCTCCTCTCTTTGTATGCTAAGTAAGTAATCCTCATTTCCATTATGCATCATTTTTAACATTTAACTAAATCATTAAGAGTGCACCCGGTAGTTACTCTTACCACACATGCGCACATGTCACTCCTAGGTTGCTAAACCTGAAGAGTTTGGCAGAAGCCTCATGGAGAAGGACATGAAAAGGGGGCCTTCAGTAGCCAAATAATGATAAAATATCTAACAATGGGGCTTTAATAATACACAATGGATGCAGGATGCAGGGCATCAGTGGCATCTTAGTAATCATCATCATTGTCTTATGAAGGTCATCATTAAATAGATGTGACAAGCTGACAGGCGTGTAAAGAAGGCGAGGCTGGCAGATGGACCGATAGGATTGCTGGCAGGTAGACCAACATGATAGAGAAGGAAATCAACAGATGTCCATAGAACCAGACAATGACTGACATGACCACATAGACAGGAAATGTACTTTTCTGAGGTTGTCGATGCCACTTGAGTAAGGGATGTGGAGGAGGAAAAAAGGTTTGAAATTGAAAGCGAGCAACAGAGCTTCAGTGAAAGCTGCCTCTTTTTCCTTCCCTGGCTGTGTCATCTCTGTGTGCCCTGGAGCGCCTCTTCTCAGCATTCAGCCTTCATGTCAGGGCTCATCTCACAATCTCTTGCTCTTTTTATCCTCATCCCCCTCTCCGATCTCTTCCAGCCTCTTTTCAAAGGTCATGTGAAGAATAGAATCTTATTTCTTCTATCCAGTAGAACAGTGTCTACAGATATAAGGAGGGGGGAGAGAAAGTGACAGACTAAAGTAAAACACAAAGAGGGAGCTTCAAAATGTTTCTCAGTTTGTGTTAAATGTGTTTATTATCATACTTGCTGTGCATTGGTGTAAAAGGCTCCATTCGTCACGCTGGGAGCAAAACGGTGAACTTTGATTCGCCGGCATCATCTTCCAGATTAAAGTCTTTGGGGTCACACACTTCATTCAGCCTTGTGAAATCACGTGATTGTGTGTCACTGTGTGTGTTAATTTTCCACCATTATTTTGGTTCAGTTCTCCCGTTTTTAGATTCCATTATGTATATACAAGACATGTAGCAGTTCATTGATTAATTGATTATTTAATAGCTGTGCCCTAATGTGCAGATTAATTTAAGATTGAAAAGGGTTTTTGAACAGGAGAGGAAATTACTCACCAGCAAGGCTTATTGATTACGCCTTAATGTATTATCAGTAATCTGGGATCACATACAGTTACTTTTATTCTTCTTTATGATTCAGAGAGAAAATTATTAACAGTTTTTTGGTTTTGCGTGTGCATTTGTTTGGTGCCTTAACTAGTTGTAGTGACAGCTTGAATAATTCCAGGGACAGCAGCAGCTGTTACTGGAATCACATCATGCCAAAATCCTAATTATATCAATGTAACGTAAAATTATAATGCAAATTTAAACGTCATTATCCAGCCATCATTACCGAGCCATTATTTGGAGGTACAGTCATGAGTTACAGGATTTGTGGGTGCAACGTCAAACTCTTTCCCTGCCAAGTCAGGAGACTTTATATCTTTTAATATGCTGCTTTGTGGTCTTTTTTTTCAGATGATGAAGCATGCATGGGACAGCTACAGACAGTACGGCTGGGGTCACAATGAGCTGAAGCCCCTTGCCAAGAAAGGACATTCCACAAATATCTTTGGTAAGCCAGACAAACCCCTCTATCCCACTGCTGCCTGTGCCCATTGGCAGTTTGCTCACACAGTTGTAAATCACACATGGATGCATGCATGAATGCACACACACTCTGTCTTGCTCACACTCAGACACTTATACACACACACACACACACACACACACACACACACACACACCCTGTCTACTCTCTTGTGGACAAAGTTATGTGATAATGCCTCCGGCAGGATGCATATCACTTTGGGAAAAGTGTTTGCGAACAGAAGCACAAGATCACTGAAACCACAAGAAGAGAACATCATTGAAGTCATTGAAATGCCAGATAAAAGAAAATAACAAATCTATTTGAAGTACTGGTAATATTTCACTAGTCCTAATCCCAGTGTATAAATCTATGGAGCAGTTATTTTGATAAACTATAGAACAGTGTTGTAAGCACACAATAATACAGTGTTTATTTTAGGTAGTGTAATGTCAACCACACTAATACCGATAATTAAAATAACCCCATTCTTGGTTTAACACTCTTATCTGTCACCCACTAAAATATTACAATGTTAGATAAACAATGTTAATGTTAACAATATTACAATGTTAATGCAAAAAAGGAGTACTCTTGTCAAGGTCCAGTCACAAGGGAAATTCCCGTTTGTAGAGAGAGAAACATTGCCGTTGGCAGTGATCATATTTCCCTCAGACAGGCCAATCCAACGCAGCGTCTCATCATGAGTGATTTGTGTTTTGTACACAGTTTTTTGGTGTTCACATCTGCAGCTGCCATCTATCATAACACAGATCAGACAACTTGGACTCCACTTGTTGCTGTTTCACTTTGCAAGCTGTAACAGCGTTACTGACTTTTCAGTGACACTTATGGTTAACAGGAGTAAATTATTTGTGTGAAGGAATTTTAGGGATACTATGACACAGGGTTCCCCAGGTCCTGTTTGGCTTAATTTCTGAACTAAAGTAAGCCAAAGGTGACAGCCTATAGCCGTTAGCTAGTGCAGCTGTCTTGATAGTGATGCACTGCCATACCTTTGCTAGGTAACACAACGTCAAGCTTTTTTGACCTCCCATTCTAAATCCATAAGCATTAATATGGAGTTGGTCCCCCTTTTGCAGCAATAACAGCTTCCACTCTTCTGGGAAGTCATTCTACAATATTATGTCTGTGGGAATTATCGCACTATCATCCAGAAGAGGGGTGGTGATGGAGCAATGGATAAGACACTTGCCTTTGGTGTGAGAGACCCGGGTTCAATCCCACACTGTGACCCATCCACCATTGTGTCCCTGAGCAAGACACTTAACCCCTAGTACTCGAGAGGCGTGCGACCTCTGACATGTAGAGCAATTGTAAGTCGCTTTGGATAAAAGCGTCAGCTAAATTAATAAATGTAAATGTAAGAGCATATGTGAGGTCAGACACTGATCTTGGATGAGAGGGCCTGTCTCGCAGTCTCCATTCTTGTTCATCCCAAATGGCGTTTAGTAGGGTTGAGGTCAGTTCTCTGTGCGGGTCAGTCAGGTTCTTCCACACCAAACTGGGAAACCATTTCTTTATTAAGCTGGCTGGCTTTGTTCACGAGGGCATTGGATGGAGGTATTCACATATCCCATTTAGTGTGAATAGATGTATTGATTATTAAAAATTCATAATTCTTAATAATCAGTGCTGAGATCAGTGTCCAACATCCCATATTGGTCTTAGTTTAGTTTGAATTTTTGCATGTGAAGATGCTGCTTTATGCTTTTTTATCGGAGTGTTTATGCATTGCCAGTTTGACTTGTGTTTTCCTGTTTTGTTTTTTTTTTTTTGTTTTTTTTTACTGTGTTTGTACCTTAAGTTACTTTGTGTGTGTGTGTGTGAGGATGCATGCTTATGAGGCTTTTGTGTCCAATTGGAATGTTCCGGCTGGCAAATCAGCCGGCGGCGCCTGTGTTATTTTATGAGCTGCTGCTAAATGGTAGATAGATGCTGCTTCTGTGTGTGTGTGTGTGTTTCCATTCAGTGGTGCTCGTGTGTGTCTGACTGTTCATCTGCATGGATTTGTGTGTTTCTCAATGCGTGTCTGTGTGTGTGTGTTTTGTCCTGCCTCCATTTAATGGCTTAGTCTGGGTGTCTGCAGGTTATTAGTCACAGGGTGGCCAGTAAAACACAAGCAATACACATGGCAAAGAATCAACCTCCACACTCCTCGCAAAATACACTTCCATTATTGATGAGGCGTATCCTGTCCTCCTACAGAACTTTGCTGTATTGATTACGTGTGTGAGCGTGTGTAAGTGTCTTTGAAAGAGATAGTTGAACAGAAAAGAAAAAGCAATGCAGCAGACTCTTGTTGGTGTGTTGCTGTTACTATTAGGAGCATAGACGGCTTGTACCAAAGGGACACACACATGCACAAGGGCTGGGTGATTGGATGGAAACAGATTGCTGATCGACCTGTGAATTGTGGATTTAAATCACTTTGATGTTTTGTCATTTAAATTGAACCCTGCTGCAATATACTTTGATGGTAAAGTCAATCCAAGAGAAACATTATACTCATTTAAACTTTTTAAACCGACCTCATGGACTAAAGAGAAACGTGGAAAGATTTCCTTTTGCTGGTCAAGTCGGCACAATATTGGCCTGTAAGAATTGAGCAGTCTTACTGCCTGACACAAGCATTACATAAACACAACAGTTTACGTACAATTAGCCTCTTATTAAACATGCCTTCCACGTAGTTGTTAAAGAGACAAAGGGTAAAGCTGCATGTGCTCGCTCCAAGCCTTAAAGCTCAGCCTTAATCTGTCCAGAGAGAAGACAAGAGGCCAGAATGGTAACAAGAGGACTGGGACTCTCATTGTGGCACCAGGCTCAGATAACCTTGAGTTCACTGCCTGGCCCTGTTTTCCTTCTCCTCTGTGGAGAATGAGTAGAGCTGATTTTGAGTACAGATACAAACACAGCCTTTGTCTCGAGGGTAAGCGGTTCAAGTAAGGATACTGCGTGACCTTGTAAAGGAAACATGGTACATGCTGGGTTAAGAAAAGCATGGTTCAAGCAGTGTCAGACACAGCAAGCAAGCTACCTTGGACTCAATCTCACACACACACACACACACACACACACACCCCAGGTCTGCAACTAACAATTGATTTTGTTGTTGATCAATTAATATTATTATTTACAATTGCCGTAGTAAAAGTGACGCCATGAATATAGAACCAACCAAAAGTTTCCAGAAAGACTCACTAGAGATTTTTTACTGCATATGCTACTGTATAAACTAGAGTTAAATAATCTGCAACTATTTTGATAATCAATTAATCATTTCAGTCATTTTCAGCTTCTCAAATGTAGGGATTTGCAGCTTTCATTTGTCATATGTGATGGTAAATAAAATATCTTTGGGTTTGGACTGTTTGTTGGACAAATTAAGCAATTAGAAGACGTCGCTTTGGTCTCAATATTGTGATGGCTGTTTTCAGTACTTTTTGACATTTAATAGACCAATCGTCTGATCGGTTAATTGACAAAATAATCAGCAGATTAATTGAAAATAAAAATAACCATTAGTTGTCGATCTAACAAACTGCACACTGCCAGTTGCATGACTACTATTTGTGTCTCGTGGCTTTGATCATAGTAACTGTGTCATATGATAGACAACTCTATTCACACACACACACACACACACACACACACACACACACACACACAGCAATAATACCCTTGGGTTATTGTATGAGGAACATCAGCCACCATTGATTCAGCCTGAAACCATTTGACCCTTGTTCAGGCTTTGGGCCAGTCAAAGCAAAGGCCGGGCTTCACAAGCAGCTGAAGTGGCCTTGTTTATTGTAAATGGACAGCACAAGCTCTGATCTTTAAACACACTCCTCATTGTTTGCTGGGAAATGCTCTCAGGGGACTTTACATTGATCAGGGCTTCAGTGAGATTGTAAATCTACACCGCTGTCTCTCCATCCCTCTGTGGCTACAGTAGGTTATAATCCCAAGGTTTAGGAGACATGAAATAAAGCATGAATGACCTTATTAAGTCAGGACAGATGTGATTCTGGATATATCCCGTGCTGATTTACCTGGAGTATTAAATGAGTACAGTGTTGTTGATACTCGATAAATCATGTAAGTTATTGTTTTGTTCTGGGAAATCCTAAAGGGCTTTTCCATGATTTTTAAACTTTAATTGGACCAAATGATTAACTGAGTAATCAAAAAAATGACAACAGATTATTTAGTAATGACAATTATTTGCAGCCCTAAGTGTAACCAAACAAACAAAAGATAATTTTAACAATAGGAGAGAGAGAGAAGCTTGCTCGGTAGTAGGTTATTTTTAGAGTTATTTTTATTTAGTGGTTGGAGCCAACAATAGAGGATCAGGTCAGTTTCTCTCTATGGATTATATTTCTGACTTTGAGTGACCTTATTGGAGTCATTTCAGTGGATTTAATCTCGTCTTCAGAGGAGGGAATCCACTGGTGAGTCTGAGGCCTGCCCTCTAAACTCGACTTAGTGTCTGTTACTGCTTTATTGGTTTCCTCCCCAAGCTTGCTGTCTGATGGTTTTAATCCAAACTTACAAACCCACAAGCAGTTTGACATGCTCACAGTAAATGATATCACACACTGCCTCAGGCATGCACTTGCTAGAGGCCTGTTAGGTAGGAGATGATGGAGATGATGCAAAACTGGGATGAAGTCTGGACACCAGGTCCCTCAGTCAGCCCAGTACTGGAGCACTGACATCATCTTCGTCTATTAGAAGATTACTTTGGGTGCATCATGTGGCCCATAGCGATGGCCTGGCTGCTCTTGCACAGTTTCACATAACGAACACGTGCTCTTGTAAGATCAAAATGTGTCACTGCTTTGTAAACACTTAAAAAAAATTATATTATGAAATTTAAATGTACTCCCTATTTTCTTTTTGAATGTAATTTTTAGCATCTTTACTCATGGGAACATACTTGTCGTTAAACCGCAGCA